ATAGATCAGTTTCCATCTGGTGTTCTATTCCTTCTGCGTGAAGAACTTCCTATAGCATTTATTGTAGTATAGCCTGCTATTAATGAATTCTCTAAGCTTTTGTCTAAAAAAGACTTTCCTTTTTGAATGTTATTTTCATTGGTATGGAATTCTGGATTGACAGTTTTGTTTTTTACTTTCAGCACTTTAAAGATGTCCCTCCATTGTCTTATGCCATACATACAGCAGGTCTACTATAATTCTTATTTTTGCTGTCTGTATATAACGTGAATTTTTTTCACTTACTGCCTTCAAGATTATCTCTTTTTGTTTTCCGACAGTTCCAATATGATATATCTAGGTTTTTAAAATGCCACGTGGGGCTTTCTGGGCTTTGTGGATTCCCTGTTTTGATATCTTGTATTTTATTTAGAGAATTCTTAGCAGTTATCTCTTTACATATTTTGCCTGTCCCAGTGTCCCTCTCTTTTTCTTATTAAATGCCAATTTATCCCCAGCTCTTGCTTGTGTGTGTGTGTGTGTGTTTCACTCTTTACTCTCTTCGTCCTTCAATTTGGGTAGTTCCTATTTACCTATCTTCAAGTTCATCAATTCTTTCTCCATCTGTGTCAAGTTTACTGATGATCCCAAAAGCATTCTTCATCTGTTACTGCTTTTTTTATTTCTAGCATTTGTTTTACTTTTTCTATAGTTTTTATCTCTGCAAAATTCTTCACCTGCTCAAGCATGTTGTCCACCTTTTCCATTAGACCCTTTAATGTTAATCAAAGCCATTTTAAATTTCTTATTTGATAGAACCAATATCTGAGTCATCTCTGTGTCTGGTTCCATTGAATGCTTTGTCTCTTGATAGGGCGTTGATTTTTCTTGCTTTTTATGTCATATATTTTTTACACTGAATACTGGACATCATGTGTAGGACGGCAGAGACTGAAGTAAATAGCATTTATGGCTGAAAATGGGTATGATTCTTTTTTTGCTAGAACCTCAATGTACAGGCCTGAGTCAGTTTGGTCAGGAGTTGATCTTGTTTAGGTTTTGTTGTAGTGCCAGTGCACCACTGGCTTCAAGTCCCTCTAGTATTACTTTGTGCTTAAGTTGAAGGATGGGTTGCTCCACCCTTAGCTTTGACCTCTCTATTCACATTCTTGCCCCCTCCTCCAACAGCAGACACTGCTGTTTTTTGATACTTAGTGCCTGCTAGCTTGCTTTGGGGCAGGGGGTTCTCTGTTGCCCTGGTCCAGCCTTAGCTTTAGGCAAGCCCTGTGTCCCTGAGTCTTGGCAATTGGGCTTTCTCAGCCATCTCACCCATCTCCTATTGATAGGATATCTTTAATGGCCTAGGGCCAGGATGGCTTTCTGTTCTCCGGCAGGAAGAGAGGGTTTTTCTGTTTCCTTTCCTGCAGTCATAAGGAGCCTCCAACTGAGGACATCAAGGTTTGCTACCCTCCATCTGACTTATGGTATTTGTTCCAGAGGGAAGGAGGGTCTAATATACTCTTCAGTTCTAACTTTCTAGGATCCTACAAAGGTATTTTGTGTTTTCTCAGAGTGTGGTGGGGGGATTCTTCCCCTCTTTAGAACTGAGAGACACAGAATTCAGATAAAGGTAGAAAAACTAGCTTTATTACTGACAAAAAGCTGGATTAGAGGACACACGACCACAATGGGCTACCGAGTACCCTATCCCTAAATTAGGTGGACTTGCCCACCCAAGTTCGAGGCAGAGGTGGACAGCTTAGACAGGCAGACAGCTTTCTAACATGCCTCAGAAAGCTCAGGATTTGGCTGAAATCAAAGAAATGCAGACAGGAATAATACTCACAAGATGAGTCACTCCTCCTTCCCTGGAACGGAGTAAGCGGGGGAGCTCGCCTTTCGTCCTGGATAGTGGAATGGAAATTCTCTGCACTCTATGAAAATGTAAGGAATAAAGAATAAATATTACCCCTAACAACAGGCAGATGAGCTGTGCCTGATCATCTATCTTTGAAGTCAGCTCTTTGAAGCTCAGCAAAGCCTGCCACAGGCAAAATTTTAGTATAAGCTTCATTCTTGTTCTTACAGCTACCTTCCCTTCCTCCACTTCTGAATGTGCATACAGACTCCAACCACCTTCTCAGTGGCTTTTCTGGAAGCATCTGCACAGATTAGTAGTTGAGGAAAATGAGAAGGGAGCAGGTGATTTTATATGTGGGTGTTCTCTAAGTCTGTATTTATGAGTAAAGACTATCTTTCCCATTGCTCCACGAGATGTACTAAATTATGGCATACAACTTTAAGTGCCTCTGGGGCTTATTTAAATCATTCTTTTTGTAGGTAAAGTTAAGCTTGGTTCAAGTACTTGCTTTTTGGTATTTAGAAGGTCTCAATGATTATTTATATTGGCCTTCTCCCAAAAAGACAATAAAAACACAAATCTATAGGTACCACTGAAAGTCATTACTTCCTTCTCACAGTGATGAATAATGATTACTATGTGTCCACAAATACTTGTATTCATGATTTTAATTAGTATGGATAATTTGGTTCAGGAAATTTCAGTTCAGACACAGCAGCACCTGTTTGTTTTATTTAATTAAACTTTTATTTTTATTCTGAGGTAATTGTAGATTCACATGCAGTTGTAAGAAATAACACAGAGATTCCATTGTGCCCTTTATCTAATTGCCTCCAACAGTAACATCTTGTAAAACTATAGTACAATATCACAACCAAGATGATGACATTGATACAGTCATGAAACAGAACACTTCCATCATAACAAGGATCCCTTATGTTGCCCTTTTATAGCCATACACAATTCCCCTCCCCCACAACCCCTGGAAATCACTAATCCGTTAATCACTAATCTATTCTCCATTTCTGTAATTTTGTCATTTTAAGAATGTTACATAAATGGAATCACATGGTACATAACTTTTTGGGAATGGCCTTTTCATTCAGAATAATTCTGCAGAATTCATCCAGGTTGTTGCATGTATCCATAGTTTATTCTTTTTTTATTGCTGAGTAGTATTCCATGGTATGGATACACCACAGTTTGTTAACCATTCACCCACTGAAAAACTCTGGGTTGTTTTTGGCTATTACAAATAAAGCTGCTATAAACATCTATATACAGTTTTTTATGTCAACATAAGTGTGTGAAAACATGTTTATAATGATATGTAACTCTTTGCCTAATTTTATGGCTGCTTAACTGCAGAGCAAAGAACATCAAGGCATTTTCCAAAGGTCATAGACCACTTCCTTACAACTGAGGATTAACTAATGACTCTTACCAGTATTTACAGCTTTATGACTATCTTGCTACCTGACCTTGGGAAGCCCTTGACTCTCTGAGCCTCAACTACACAAGATACATGTTTTCCAAGTATATTATTTGAAATATGAACTCCATGAAATGCTGCTAAAAGGGAGATGGGGGGGAGGTTTCTTGGTCAAACAAATTTGAGGAAATGCTGAATACTATATTCCTCTTTTGAAATAAACAAATGCGTTTTGGGATACAAAAGGAGGGATCCAGTGTCCAACTGCCCAAGTTCAAATTCCAGCTCCATCACTTGCTACAACAGTAACCCTCAGTACGACACTTAACCTTCCCATACCTCAGTTTCCTCATCTATAAAATGTAGATAACATCAGTACCCCACTCATAAGAATGGAAGATTAACTATAAGGACACAAGAAAATACTTGATAAATATTAGCTATTATAATTATGCCATCAGAATCAGAATCATCAAAATCATTATGATCTTGTTAAAAATACATATGTCCAGGTCCCAGCCCTTGGAGATTCAGATTCAGATTCACTAAGTCTAGGGGAGAGTCTGGTCCAGATGAAGAAGTAGAGGTTTATCTATATTAAGAATGTGTCCAGGTCAGTGCAGCCGCCAGGACCAGTGACAGCAAGAGACAGGGCAACATGAGAGATTTGGCTGTGCCCCACACTGCAGAGCTTACTGATAGTAGAATTAATCCCTAAAGTGACTGAAGTGGGTTTCAGGATGGCAAAAGAGGAGTCCCCAAGGATCTCAAAGGATTTGCAGGAGCTGCAGGAGAAGCTGTCTTTGCTGACAGAATCCATCCAGAATAACTCGGAGGTCAGTTTCCAATCAGCACACATATTGAAAAATCCCAAAATAACACTAGCTTAAACACCATGGAAAGCTATTTCTCTCTCAAGCAGAAGAAATCTGGAGGTAGGTCAGGAATCTTTCTAGCTCACCACGCTGCCATATCTAAGTTGTGATCTTTAAACTCATTGTCCAAGATGGCTGCGAGAGCATCTGACATTGTATCCACATTCCAGGCAATAGGATGGAGAAGAGCGGGAAGAAAGACTTGCAAGCCACCTCCAATTTAAGGAGACTTCCTGGAGGTCACACACACAACACCTCCAATTATATCTCATAGACCAAAATTTGGTTGCATGACCACCCCTAGCAGCAAATGTGATTCTTTAGGTAGACATAGAGAGGAGGCTCTTAGTCTGTACCACATATACCATCCTTTTTTAGTTTTGTTGTTAATTTTAGCTTATCTGTTACCCTGAAAATGAGGAGCCAAAGTCTACTTTAAATGTTGCACTAGAAACCTAGTGTCCGATAGATATGATGTAAGCCACATAGGTAATTGGAAATTTTCTAGTAGCCACATTTAAAAAGTAAAAAGCAGGTGAAATTAATTTTAATAATGTATTTATTTAACCTAATAATATGATTTTACCATGTAATCATTATAAAAAATTATTAATGAAAAAAGTCACTGAGATGTTTTACATTCTTTGTTGTACCACGTCTTCCAATTCCAGCGTGTATTGTACACTCACGGCACATTTCAACTCCACCTAGCCTTTCAGGTCTTCAGTAGCCATTCAGTGGTGATGGGACTTGAGACAGTATATTCCACTGTAACTTGCATATTTCTCTTTATCACTTTCTTCCACATGCCTTTCAGCATTTTGTCAGGGAAAAAAAACAACAGCTCTCAAAATATCATTAACATTTTGTTGAATGCCCTTCCTCAGTTTTTGCCTATGCAATATACCCCTAAAAATACATATTTGTATAGATTAAAAAAAAAAAAAAGAATGTGTCCAAGGTAGTAGTAGAGGCAGGATTTGAAGCTAGACTAAGTTGCCTGATGGAGAGACGTCACACTTATGTCCACAGACAAATTTAGTAAATCCTTTAAATGACTAACTCTGCAGTCCTACAAAAAGAGCACAGTTCTCTCCTGAACTGAAGTTTGGGCTTGTAATATACACTCATGATTCCTCGAGGGGTAGTTCAATAAAATAACATGTAGTTCTGTGCAGTTGGTACACATCAGCTTTCAAAAACATTCCTAAATGTAGCAGTTAGCATTGATATATAAAAGTTTTATTTGTGAGTTGTTGCTTAGCAAATCAAATCTGAGAATGCCATTATTTCCTTAGAAATACAAGAAAACAACTATGATTGCTATTCTTTCTATAGGTTTCACCACCACACTGCTGATTTCCAAAGGTCTTCTATTGTCAAGCATCAGGCAAATTTCCGGGACACTTGGGGAATCACTCTAGAGGTGGTGGCAATCTTTTTACCACTTCTGCTGCAATCTTCAGGTAAGCTTTGGCCTGGAAAAGAATAGACTCATTTATTCTATATTTCTCCCCAGTAGACAACAAATGACTCACGAACTGCCTGTCATAGCTGTCCAGTGAATTTAACAGTAAAAAGGCTGAATGAGACGATGAAATTCAGTAGTGAGAAGATACTGCTGTGCACATTGCAGGAGAGGCAGGGGAGAAAAGATTTTAGAGTATTTGGAAGGTGACTTTCTGAAAAAATATTTAGTACCAGCAATTACTGTTTTTCAAACTCTAATTCCCATGTCAGCAAACTAGCAGCCAGTCTAGTTGTAGAAAAATTACACCTTCTTCTGACAAATTGATATCCTGAGTTAGATACTGCCAAAACTTCTTAGTCATAAGAGCTGTTAGTCATTTTAAAGGGGACTAGTTATCACCACCCTATGTTTATCTTTGGAAAGCATTGTCTTCATTCTCTCTGAGAATGGCGTCCAACACTATCACTGAGCACCTATAGGTTCCTTCACCTGGTGAATTTTGGGTACCATGCAAGAATTTCTGGGATCAGGTGTCACACTCTTCATCTCTGGGACCCCCAGTGCCGCAGAACACTAAGAGCAGCTCCCAAGCCACCTAGTGGGCCACAAACTAACCCAATGTCCCCAGGGTCCAGTAAGAACAATGGTCACAACATTTGCATTTTAAGAGTTTTAAACAATTGCAATGCAAATATTATTTATTTCCCCATCTCGTCTATAAAAAGTAACTGTAAGAGACAATAGTAAGATTTTCTAAAACCATTACTGTATACCTTTATACACTTAGAGTTAGATATATATACCACTACTACTGCTACTACTACTACTGATAATAGCTAAAATTTACTTCAGTACTTAATGTTTGCAACAGTGATTTCACTTATCCTCACAGCTACCCTAAGGGGTAAGTTCGGTCCTTATCCCCACTTTATAGACGAGGACACCAAGCCCCGGAAAGGCGAAGAGTCCTGTCCGAAGCACTACAGTTGGTAGGAGATGAGCGGAGCTTTGAGGCTCGGCTGACCCGCTCCCCGACCCTGCACGGGAAGAGAGCTGTTTGAGGTCTCCTTACCCTGACGTGACCAAGAGCTTTAAGTGTGTGTCCCACATCTTCTTTTTTAAAAACTATGTTTGAGCCATAACAGCTGAATCATTACCAGCTGTATTTTACCAGAAAAGCATTAAAATTTCATCTAGGAGTCCATTTTTTAAAAGAATAGCTCTCCAAACATGAATAAGGCCTTACCTTTTTTTTATTGAGCACCTACTATACCAAGTGCTTCGCACAAGTAATCTCACGTAAAATAAACATCAGCAGCTCAACTTGGATAAACAAACTGGGAGTTGCCTGCTCAAGGTCACAAAGTCAGAAGGCTGGAAAACACTCAAACCTGCGTCCCCCCGACCCCACAGCCCAGCTCCTCCCACTGCGTCACACATTCAACAGCAAACCCGAAATACAAGTAATTCATTCTAAGCATGATGTTTTGTCTAAAAATGGTTTCAATCTCTGCTATAGTAGTTAACAGAAACAATAGTTTTTATTTAGAAATGGAAATAGCATGTACTTTTTGAAATATTTCCCTTAAACCTAATGTGCTGATTTTCACCCATGCATCTTTGTAAATACCTTTTACCTCCTAGTAGCTTTTCTCGGTATTTAAGCCTAATATTTTGGGGTGAAATGTTAAAGTTCACTAAGGAAAGCTGAGACATGGACAACATTCTATAATCTTTTAGTTCTTACTTAAGTCAAATTAGAGACATAAACCTATCAGACTACACAAAATACTAAATGATTCCAGAATAATCAAATTTGCTACATTTAACTTTTGCTTTTTAATGGACTATTTCTAAGCTTAAACTTTCAATACATCACACTCAAAGTAATGGTTAGATTGTCATTTGCTGAGAAACCACTAAAAGTACTTAGTTTAACAGTTTCAATTTCTACAAAACTGTTCAGACTGAATTTTTTCAGCCAATGCAGTATCATTTCAACAAACACTTTTTGGTCTTCTTGTGTGCAAGGCATTGTTTTGGGAAATCTGTGGGATGTAATGATATAAAAGGAGGCAGAATAATTCACTGGTGAAGAGCTGGGGCCTTGAAGTCAGACAGACATGGTTTAAAATCTTAGCTCCATTACTTACTAGCTGTGAGGCCTTGAGCAAGTTCCTTAACCCTTCTAGGCTCAGTTTCCATATCTGTACAATGGTTATAATAAGTATCTACCTCAAACGGTTTGGGGAAGTATTAAGTATGAATAAAGTATGTAAAGTGCTGGCACAGAAGCAAATAATAAATATTAGAGGCTGCTATTATTACTATTATGTCCTCAAGTAATTTGCAATCTCATTGAAGAGCTCATACAAACATGTACTTTTGGGCACTTCTCCCACCTGAGGGATAAGTAAATTAAATGCCACCCTTTTGTTTAATCCATAATCAGCAAAAAGGCAACACACACACATCATATGTAAAAAGTATGATTCAGATTTCTCAAACTATGAATACTCTCTTCTTTCATCAACTCAACTCTAATAGACTAACCCTTCTCTCCCATTCAAGATCTTTTATCAGGCCAGCTAGAGGCACAAATAATATAGCTGGATCCTATTTGCCTGCTCTATCATGAACAAGGAAAAGGAAATGAACGGCAAGCAACCAAAGTTTAAGAAGTTTCATGGAGAGCTTTTTTCCTTTGTCTTTGTTTCTAAGATCTGAAGTTCTAATTTATCATACAGGGTCATTTCATATTAAGACTATAATTTAGAAATTAAAAGATAATAAAGTTTCCACTCATATTTGAAAGTCTTTACCAGGAATATCTTATAGCACACCTTTCTGTATGCCAATATTAAGATTTTTGCTTGATAAAAAGGATGAAACCACAAAATTATAAATCAATCATGGGTCCATTACTTGTGTCCTAGACTCGATCAAAGGCCAAACAAAGGTAGCTATAGTTGAATTAACAATTAAAATCACACAAACACAAGGCACTGCTATTGAACTTAAGAGTTCTGAATCCTGAGTGTCCACTTTCTCTCCCTTCCTCCATTGCTTTCTCTGGCTTTTTCACACTACTTAGATTTGGAGTTTCCATTCCTCCCCTTTGCTCAGTGGGGCACACGTGCAGAACGCTTTGCCCAATGGCCGAGTAGGCAGCAGCCTGTTGCTGCTTTTTAACAGGGACTGTAATCCCTCCCAACTTTCCCAGTGATGCCTCAAACGCAGCACAATTCACACCTTTAAATTAATCACTGTCTTTTTAGTGTTTGCCTCTTTGGAAAGTTAAATGTTACTGAGAGAGTTAAACCCCTAATGCCCAAATGTAAAAGATTTTATGGGCAGAGAATGAGAGCCCTGGAATCTGGTTGTTGGGAGGAGGGAGTGATGGAAGATGGAGAAGAGAAGGTGGAGTCAGAAGGAAGACGAAAGCTAAAGATGAAACTTGTACTGATTAATAATTTTGCCTATAGGTCAACCCCTAAAAGAAAACAATAAAAAGTGTCAATCTAAGAAGCTAACGATTAACAAATAATTTTATAGGTGCTGTCCCATTAACTTTTGCAGAAGTTTATCATGTTGGCAAGGAAACACTTCCTTCATTCTTTAAATGAAGACATGCAAGTAGAATGCATGGGAGCATTAAGCTCCCATGAATACAAGAGAATCTGTTGAGAGGGCTGTGACTAGCTTCTGAGAACTGGTTCCATTTGAGTTCATAGGGGAAAAGGGAAGAGGGTTATCAGGAGGTAAGACTCATCACAAGAATAACCAGAAAGATCCTGATTCTGGGACTCAATAACAGCTTCCTAATATCTGGGACTTAACATCTTTAATGTTGAAGCTGAGAACTCTGCTCTGATCTCATGATTCAAATTCTGCTACTCTGATTTTTAAATGCCATCAAAGAGTGACATTTACTTGACGCTGTGTAAGAGTAAGGGCATAAAGAGACTCAACCCTTTGATAAGGGGAAGAGGAAAGACATTTGGTGTCATTACATCCTATACAGGAAATTTCAGAAGGTAGTACATACTAGTAGTTGTATTCTGCTTGGCATTTTTCAAAGCATTTTCACATTGTCATCTCATTTAATCCTCCTCATTATGATATCAATTTACAGATGGAGAGAAAAGTTCAGAGTCATTAGGGAATTTGCCCAAGGTCACACTTAGAAAGTGGCAGACTTGGTAATGAAACCCCAAGCTGATACAGATTTATGCTCTTCCTTCCATGCAGAGACCCCTTTGAAAACCTAATAAAGCTCTTGTCCAGTTCCCCAGAAAAATGCACATTCATACATTCTGGATGTAACTTCAGGGGATTCTCAGACCCAGGTTAAGATCCTCTGTACTAGGCCCTGCAGTTGTGCGTGCCCACGCTTGCTCACTCTCTTCTTTAGATGTCTGTGACAGGAAAAGGAGGTGAAGTGAAAGCTAGCCTAAATATACACAACAGACAGACACTGAACTAATCTTGCAGTTAATTTTGAAGGAAAGCAGGTACTGCACTGGGAAGAGATTGTATGGACTATGGCATCAGAGCAGGTGTGGAAATGGCCTCTAGTATTATCTTGGACAAGTTCCTTACTGTGAATAAACCTCTGCTTCTTCATCTGAAAAATGGAGATTATTATACATATCTCACAAATGTGCTATGAGAATCAATAAGATAATGTATTTAATGCACCTAAGTACTGTACTCACCTCTCAGAAGGAATTAAAGAAATCGTAGCTACAAGTATAGAACCCAGAAGGTGATATAATGGAAAAAGGCCAATATCCAGAAGGAACAGACTTGTCTTTTAATCACATCTTACCATTTATTAGCTCTGTAACCTTGGGACAATTACTTAACTTCCTTGAGCCTCAGTTTCCTCATCTGCAAAATGGGGACTATTTATACGTTGCATTAAGTTGTTGTGAGCATAGAAATTATGTAAATAAAATGCCTAACACTTTAATTGCTGGCACACTTTAATTGCTATTATTATTAGGAAGATGATTAATAATAATGAATGTCTGCAATAACATCTATGAAAACAAAATAAATACAAAGCACCATTTTTTTCCTTTTCATGGCCATGTCTAAACCTTAAAATTGCTCAGAAGTCTTCACATTTAAGGTTGACAATGTGGTATGTGAAATTCTCACCATTTTTGCAGAGACCTAACGAAACCAAATCTAGCACAAACCACAAAAGGTTAGGCTGTTCACATTCTCATAAATGTCAGTATAATAATAGGTACTTAACAGTAAAATAATAGGTCTAATGTTTACGCAAATGTAAATGAGATTAAAAAAAGTCACTCCAAAAAACTCCACAAGCAGTTGTTGAGAGTTTTAAGTTATATTATCTTTTGATGGTTGCTATATGTTCTCTGTTATATGAAATTCCTTCAGCTTCCTTGAAATGTTCTTTGCTTCTGGAGAATCGCAAAGGAAAAAGCAATAATGGACAGGTGGAAAAAAATATTAAAAAATCTAAATTTATAATGGAAACAAACTAGTAAGTAATTATTCTTATTCATAAGGAATCACCATAGAATGTCTTTAGTCTTTTCTTGGGAGGCATTTAAAAATGTGTAATTAAAAAAAAAACCTTGCTTTTCATACAACTTTTCATTCACTGCATGAAGTAAAGTACACCTACAGTGGTTGGGATTGCCAGACTTTAATTATAACAGTAATAAAGGGTTATGGTTTTTGCTTATCTGAAAGATTTCTAAGACAAGACTGAAAAGGAAATTTAACATTTAATACCTAAAAGGTAGAGAAGAGCAAAACAATAAGTGCTGCACTATATTTACCCAGAGATCATATTCCCAGCAACTCAATCATCTGCACTGTAACTGCGGACTCTTAAGAAAGGGAACGGACCTCTGGGTCCCCAAAAGAGAGAACTCGAGATGAGTTTGCTCTACTCATCCAAGATTCCTGACTTGATTTACTTTGACTTCACTCACAGCTCTAACCAAGCTTGGCTCTTTTATTTTCCAGTTCACACAAGATGAGAGGAAGCAAACTAGAATGAAAGGGATAGTAGTTGTGAACGGTCAAAATAACAGTACTATTAAGTTATACCCATTAGCTAAGGAAAAAAAAAAAGAAAAACTATTAGAAGATCGATTGGGGCTGCTCAGTAAAGGAGCACAAAAACTACATCATAACTGATGTACCAGATGATGGCTCAGTTTCTAATTTAAATCGCAAGTGCTACTTAGGGAAGAAGAGATATATATGATTGATTTTATTTCTCTTAAAAACAAGAGTAAAATAAAGTTGTAAAGCTTTAGCAATCTTGAAAATCTATCAACTGTCTTTCCAATGATGTTGGCTAACCAAACACTACTAGTTTTTCCACCTCACCTCCCCAGTCATATTTATTAAAATAAATGCAATGAAAATCCCATCTCTAACGGATTATACAATTTCCCTACATCCAACTCAATACTTTCTTACTTTAGGTTCCCTTCTCCCAACAATCAGCTGAACTTCTAATACTGAAATGTAATAACCTTGGGCCGTTAGATATTACTAGCCAGCAAGATAAGAACTTTACAAACTCTCACTGTTTGTGTTCTTCATGAGAAACTGGTTGGGTGATGATTCTTTGTAGGTGAACTCGTGTAGCTGATAATTCAGAGCCAGTCCTGGTATGCCTACCATATAAAATAGACACTTAAAGATGCTTTGGATAAGTTAACTAATCTTTGTTTAATATATGCATTGCAAATAGATAAACTTGATCTTCCCAATTTTCTTTCTATATACCAAAAAGTATATATTCTTTAAAAAGAAATTAAAATATATATTTAAAAATATAACTTACCTCATCACTTTCAGGCTGTGAAAACACAATTGGCTGGCCTGTATCTGAAGCTTCCCTTATATTAAGATGCAAAGGAATATCTCCTAAAAGAGCCCACCAGATATCCATTAGTACTACAAAAGTTTATATAGGCATTTGGAATTTCACTATTTGAACCTCAGAAAGAAACAAAATCTAATAAACTAAATTGATTCAAATCAACTTGAGTTATGACTATCCTCAAATTGGTAAATCTCTAAAAAAGGAATTTCAAATGAAAATTAGAGGCAAAATATTCCATTTGAGGGTAGTACAGTGATTACATATGTATATATGAAAGCTATGTGGCAGCCAATCAAGGGATAAGATCTCCGATTTATTCTTTGCTGGAGGTCCTCCAGCAAGAAATGGCTTGGAAGGCATTTGTAAATTATTTCTCCCTGTAATATATGATATAAACACATCATACCACGTAATAAGAGGAAACTGAAGAGGAAAAGATGAGGAGGCAAAGTAGTCAAAAAAAAGTAAAATAAAATAATCTTCCTGATGTTGGCAGATGAGTGAGCTAAGAGAACTGTTGACAAGTAGATCAGACCTATTATCTCAACTACCTGTCTCTTTATCAGATAGAATTATTTTTCTTTTATTATATATTAATCGATATAGCATTATATATAACTTGTGAGCTTGATGAAATCTCAGGATATATATATGAACCTCCAATATACAGACTTGAGGTCGGAGAGGCTGTGTATCTTTCCTGAGGGTATATTACTATTAGGTGGTAGAATGTAGGGGAAAAATGCTCTGATCCATCATCCAGTTGACTCCACCACAGCATCACAAATGAAACCTTTCAAAAAGCTGAGATTTAAAATAGAGTCTTAAGTAGAAGAGTTGACTTGTCATGGTACTCAGCATTCTTAGAACCACTCCAAATCCATGCAAAGGGAATTGAAACATGTGTGTGTTACATAAATAAGTCATTCAGCACCATGAGTGGCAATGTAAATAATGCAGAAGTATATGTTACAAAATTACAAACCTATTACAATTTATAGTAGGAAGCACATAGAGGAACAGATATATTTCATGCTTCTCTTGTCAACAAATTTTGAGATCTTAACCAACTCTTTAAGTCTTTCCTAAATATTCAATAGCTAAGTGACAAAACACACGAATATTTCAGTAGCCATTTAAAGATTAGCTTTTCCATAAATTTGATGTCTATTCTACAGATAAACATAAGACTGTAGAAACTGTCATAGGGGCCGGCAGGGGGAAAGATGTTATAAGAAATTCTTAGAAACCCATAAAGTTTTTTCTCTTGATTTATGAACTGCCATTATAGTAAGGAATCCTGAATGCTTTCATTTCTATTGCAGCAATGGAAGGAAAAAAAAAAGTAAAACCTTCTCCTTTAAATAGCCACCTATTGACAGCGTTTCTGCTCTCCAGAGACTCACAATCCTACCTATAGGCACAGAAGAGCAGACGAAGAAAGAGGAAAACCTTGTTAGAAAATAGTGGCCTAGTGAAAGTGGTAACTGGCTAACAGCTATACACAGAGAAGGATAAAAAAGAGTAAAGGTATGGAGAGCGGGTAGGGCACAGCCTGGCCTTGGAAAGTATCTTTGAGGCGTTAGGTCTGAAGGAAGCGAGGGCACATTCCAGAAACAAAAGTTAAAGGAGTTTCTGTGAGATGATCTGAGACCTTAACTACTATGCATAAACTGTCCCTGTAGGTAAATATGGATAAAGTTCTGAAGAGCCATTTTACCAAAAAATCATTTAAAACAGCCCAATGGATGAAAGTAACTTAAGAGGCAGCCAGGGAGTCAGTAAAGGACAAATAAGGGTTCCTGGGAGGTTCAACCAGCCAGGAGGCCACAGCTGGGAGAGCTCTTTCCCTGATGTCAGTTCCCCATTCCCAATAACAACCTCTTTGTTACTGGGGCCCCTGCTCCAGTTCATGGGAGTTCCCTCTGGGGAACTGGAGTTCTCTTTTAAGGAGGAGATGTGCCCTGAGTTCCCACAACACTGTTAGATACCGTAGTCTATAGCACTATCCAGTTTTTGTGATCAGTAATCAGTGTTTCTGATACATTTTTAGGGTAACTATACATTTTGTGAGCTGTTGGTTAAAATCTAACTTCCATATGTGAGATTGTCTCTCTAGGAGATATGTTTCAAATTCTAAATAACTTACTTACAAAATTGTACCACCCATTTGGAAATTAGGGAATTATAATATTGTCAGCATAATTCAATAATGCCATTATAATTACACATTTACTTTATTATATAAGTGAATGTCAATCTGTTATGTTATTACGCAGACTTGGGAAATTTGGGAAACTGAACTTTCTAGGTTAGTTAAATGAAAAACAGTTGCAGAATATAATTAGTGGCTATAATTATAGCAATGTATCAAAATATATCATTAGTATTCACCTGGTATTGTGGTGGCTGCTATAGTACAAATGCATAATAACAATAACACCATTAACATCAACTTTTAGAAACTTAATTATAATAAAGAATGTTTTGAAATTCCTTGATCTCTAAGGGATCTTAATTGTTAACTACCTAAAACTAATAATTCACTCTATCTCTCCCTTATTCAGCAACTAACATCTGCCTTTGCCCAGAACAGAAACTCATTCATAAGTAGAATATCAAAATATGTTTCCTAAAAAGTCCATTAAGTTGCTTTTGGATTTTTTTTAAAACCATGTTTTATCCAAAATCTGTGTTTTGCTCACTTAACCATGATTTTACTTCTTCTCATAACACTAATTAATCCTTCAATTCAATAACATGAACAGTATATACAATGTAAATTTCAGGTGCCATTTTTTATAAGCATGGTAAACACATATAAAAAGATTGTAAAAAACAGAAAATATTGTCTTTCTAGAGCAGAAGGACTGATAAATTCAGAACTGATCTGGAAGGCTTTTTTTGTGTGTGTGTGAGGAAGATTAGCCCTGAGCTAACATCCATGCCAATCCTCCTCTTTTTGCTGAGGAAGATTGGCTCTGGGCTAACATCTGTGCTCATCTTCCTCCACTTTATATGGGACGCCGCCACAGCATGGCCTGACAAGTGGTGCGTCGGTGCGCGCCGGAGATCCGAACACGGGCCGCCAGCAGCGGAGAGCACGCACTTAACCGCTATGCCACACGGCTGGCCCCAGGAAGGCATTTTTTCATATGTAGCAAGAACTGACACTTCCAAAGGTTGCTACAACATAGTGAACAGGTATTTTCATATATATCTGTTTATACTGAAAGAGGTGTTCCCAGCTTAGCAAACAAACTGATGACCATTATTTAAAATATGAGCTTCAAATCACAGTACTCAGACTACAAAACTCCTCAAATTCAAGTTATAAGCAGTTCTTATCTGTAGCACAGGTTATCAAAATTGACAGAACAAACCTCCTATTTAAAAGTCCTCCACTAATGAAGTGTTATAAAAAGCCAAAGAAAGGTTAGCACACAGAACTGCACCATACTAACTTAATTTAAAACACAAAGCGGGGAAGCAAGTCATCATTTTCTGAAACACTCTTCGTCACCACGCCTTACCCCCACTTTCCCTTCTTCTGCATTTCCTCTGCAAAAGAATATCCTGCAATCTTACCTAGAACATCAAGATCAAGGGTCCGTGCTAGTCTCCTTGCACCATCAGCACCAAAAATATGAGTTTTGTGTTTACATTTTGGACACTGGAAAACACTCATATTTTGGACAAGGCCCAGAACCTAGAATAATAAAAACACATTGAAATCAAAACAAAATTAAACTGAATATCCATCTATTATTTCAACAAGTTTTTACCAAGTATCTATTAGGTCCTAGTGATACAATGATGAACAAGCTATGCTCTCTGTTCTCAAAGAACTCACAAGCTAGTGGGAGAGCAAGACACGCGTAATTAACTTTAATAATGTGATCAATGCTAAAGAAATATAAATGACAGGGATCAAAAATTCTGTCTGGGAAGAATAAGAGGAATCTCTGAGTTGCCTATAGAGAACTGTTTCTTCAGGCTGAGGGTGAGAAGACGGGTGAGGCCTGCAGCAGGAATTCTAGGCAGAAGGAAGAGCACAAGCCAAGACAGTGAAATATAACTGTGCACAGCCTATTTGGGCTGCGACCTTGAGGGGGCCAAGGCAGAAGCCGGTTTGGTACGGAAGATCAGGGTCAGACGGTAAGGTGCTAAACGCCATCTATGGATTTGAGACAACAGAAAACCATAAAAGGTTTATAAAGTTGAGAAGATGGTATCAAAGAGGTAGTGTTACACAATCATATTTATGTTTTAGAAATTTAGCTCTGATGGCAATATGGAAAAAATAAGCTGGAAGAAACATAGGAAAATAAATAGTTAACATGCTAACTGTGGAAAAGCCTCATAGTAAATAACAGCTAACATATACTGACGGCATGTTATGTTATACGTCAGGCACTGGGGTAAGTGCTTTAAGTGCACGATCTTATTTACTCCTCACAAGACCTTGATGAGATGGGTATTTTATCAACCCCATTCTATAGCCGAGAAAACTGACACAGCTAGCAAAAGACTGAAACTCAGCTCTTATCAGAATGTTACCATTTGAAATAAAAATTTAAAGTCTCATAAAAAGAGTCCATTGCTTTCTCAGTTTCCCCAAATTCTGACACAAAATAGATACTTTGTAAATATCTGTTGAATAAATACACAGGCTCAGAAAATATACAGTCATATGCCACATATCGACATTTCAGTCAACGATGGATTGCATAAATGATGGTAGTTCCATGAGATTAGTACCATATAGCCTAGGTGTACCATCCAGGTTTGTGTAAGTACACTCTATGATATTTGCATAAAGACGAAATAGCCTAATGATGCATTCTCAGAATGTTATCCCCACCATTAAGCGACGCATAACTGTAATCCTTATTCATGTTTCTTTTAATCCTACCTTCTTATTGATGGGAAGCAGTGGTTCTCTTCTAGAAATAAAAATGGGGAACACAACTATCAGAGGCTTAGAGATAACGTCCTAAGTTATCTCTATCAATTCCACCAATAAGATGATCACTATATTGGAATATTTTGCATTTTAAACGAAGAATAGCTCTGACAGTCCACAATGAAACATATAGACAAGAAAGTGATCAAATTTGTTATTCTTTCTGAAATGAGAAACAGAAAAGACTGAAGTTTCCCACAACACATGTAAATGAAGACAAATAGTAGTGAGGGACATAAATTTGCAGCTAAGCATTTTCCAAGCGTCTAATATATGCCCTTTTGCTGATGTGAAATATCACAAAAAATAAATCACACTGTGTTTTGGTAATTCAGTACCATCCCCAGAAAGCTGGAAGAAAACACAGCTGAATATCACACAGCTTATTTGTTTATCTACCATGTCTGTATAATACACTTATTGCTTGGGTAGTTTTACTGCCATTTACGTTGAACGTGATCTATCCCCTGACTATAGGGCTTTCAACTTAAACAAAAAAATATCACTCAAGAAACAGGAAAAGGAAAAATGCTTAAATAATGTGAAAATTGAGGTGAGGGTATACCCCAATCCAGAGAGAATGGGAAAAGCATTCCTACTTGGAATCTCTTAAGGCTCCCCAAGACATAGAAAGGCATGAAGCAAGAGCGTATGTTCAGTTTGCGTGATTAACTTCTTATTATCAAATTGTTCTTTATAGACTGTATAGATGTCTCAGACACATTCTCTAGATGGACTAAGAAATGTCACAGACATAAAACCACAACCAAACTCAGTATTTAATGAGCTCCTATTATACGCAGTCACTGAGCTAAACACAAGGAGCAGCTCACAGTGGTGAGCAAAACAGACTTGATGCTGCCCCCTTGGAGCTTGTGCACTAACTGGAGAAGCACACTGAACAAATAAGAGTGCAAAAGTCTCCTTAAAAACTGGACCAGCTTCTCTGGAAACAAAGTACAGAGTATTATGAGAGTGGAGAACAGACAAGACTCTCTCTAGCCTGGGAGTCACAGAGGATTTCCTTGAAGAAATATTTGACCTAAAAGTTAAACAACAAGCAGGTAAAAACAAGGAGAAAAGGAAGAAAAACACTTAAGACAGAAGTAGGGAGCACATGTCTCCTTCAAGGAATTGAAAGGCCAGTGTGGTGGAGGTATGGCGTGAGTGGCATGAGACGAGGCTTGAAAGGTAGGCTTGTGGCCATGTTAGGTGTCCGGGTTATGTGATGAGGGCAAAGAGAAGCCATCAAACAGTGTTAAGCAAGAGAGACCACTATGCCTATACTTGTAGTAGACTCATTTTTTAGCACTGTAGGGTTTTAAAAACAACATGGAATGGAAAAAACTAAAAGGACTTGTCTCTGTGTGTTTATTTTCTTAGAAAAACACAAATCCAGGGCTGTGTTCTCTGAAATCAGTAATTTCAGCAGCAATGGTTTTTAGTGCTGTCTGAAATATTTCCAGTTCTCCTTCTGGGCACAAGGTTAGGATTTTTCTTCTCTGCACATTGAGGACATGTAACTTTTTTTGGACAACAAAATGTGAGAAGTGACATGTGTCACATCTAGGCAGAAGCTTTAAGGGCTAATTCCCCATTATCTTTTCCTCTGTCCCTGTGACCAGCAAGCTTCCAGAAAGTGGCTGCTCCATCAGTCTGGGTGCCAGAGTAAGAGCAACGCAGACAAGTGTTGAAGCCAAACCATAATGGACACGTAGCATGAGAGAAACAAACTGATGTGGCAGATAACTTTTTCAAAACATGGGGCTAGTTGGAAGAAAATTTAAAAGAGAGCCTTGAGTATTAAAAAGAATAGAAAACACTGCCCTAGGTCATTTAAGAGAAGTCCTCTATAATCAGTGAGTTTTGAACAGGGGCAGCTAACAGAATAAGGAAGAACATTAGAATATCCCTATTACAATTTTGTTCATAAACATTCTTCTCTTAAACAGAAAAGAATTCATGTCCACATGACCACTCCCCACCTCCACCCCCCGAAGAAGCCTTGTATCATGTAAATACTTTATATGCTGTTAAGCTGTTCGTGTTTATTGTAGAGCTATTTTGTGTATCCTTTGCTAGCAGAAACATTAGAAAACAGACGCTTTGCCATAGCTTAATTTACATAATACCACTGAGATGCAGCTGTAAGCATGCTCAATCATTTTTTAATGTCTCATCAAAGTATAAGATCCTTTTTTCTTTTTACCTCTGCTAGTTTTACAGGAAGAAAGTAAATGCTACATGCCGACCTAACATCAGCCACCACAAACCTTCTACATGTTATTCTTACATGTTATTTTACATATTATTCCAATCCATCATTGGCTCAGAAGGGTACTTCCTTTATTAACTTTTTAAAAATTGACTCTCCTAAAATATCAACATTGCTCTGAAATATTGGATTTTTGTGTCTAAATGTATTAAATTAAGCAGGCTCGAAAGGCCCCAATTTTAATTTCTTCTTGGCATTTTAAACTCAGATTCAGGTAAGTAACAAGCAAGATTTTCAGGCTACTATATAATTCAATTTCTGAAGGTTACAATCAGGTTAAATTCTTGCTGGCTGGAACCTGTCACAAGGATTAAAAGCTACGATTTAAGAAAAAATGAAGAGGAAAAACTCACTGTTAAATGGAGAATGAATAATAATAACTGAAATAGATTAGATTCATAAGCACTTTTCAGCTCTCCATTAGCCTTGAACCAGTTTTTGGTAAATTACTGACGTACGTATACATATATTATAATATTTAAAAGTGAGATGGGTGTTCTTATTTTCTCTTTCAGAAGTAGTCTGGCATGGAAAGAACAACGAATGGGGAGACCTGCATTCATGCTCCTCTCAGGGACCAACTAACTAGCTGTGGATCCATGAGGTGCAACTCAACTTCTCATGCCTTGAATTCTAAAATGAAGGTTTATAATGATCTCTAAAATCTCCATTGTTAATGCATAACAATAACATTCAGAGCTACCCTTTACATACTACGTGCTAAGGTCTATGCAAAGTACTATACATATAATCTCATTTAACCGCCACAATGGCCTATGAGATAGGTCACAAAACACTGAAGCTAAATTATTTGCTCAAGGTCACACAGTTAGTAAATAAGAGAGCCAAAATTCAAACCAGCTGTGTCACTGGTTTGTACGTGGAAGTCACCAAACAAGATCACAGGTAACTGGACTAGAGGGTTTTGTTCATGGAACTAGGTGGCCTGAAACAATGGTGAGTCAAAACAGTTTAGTGGGTGATTTAGCATAGTAATTAAGAGCACAGTTACAAGGGAAGGCTGACTTACACTATCTTCACCACTCACTGCTGTAGTCAGGCTTTAGACTTGATTCCCTTCTCCTGGCCATGGAACTCCCCTTCCCTCAACACCCTCGTCATAGCTCTCTCGACTGTCAACAGACCCTACGGCCCCTCAACTTCCCATGTTTCAATCCACCAGTTTCCTGTCTTCACTTGCCCCCTAGACAATCAGAACTCCAAGGTAAGAAAATTCAATGGAGATTTTGTTCCCTGGAATCTCTCACCCTGTAATATTCCATGATGTACATATTACTAAACCTCAACTCTGGATGATCCACACAAACAGCAGGTAAGATTGTGGGCTCTGAAAGCAGACTGCTTGGGACAGGAGCCCAGATGCCTACGAAACAGATGGGTAGCCTTATGTGAGTTATTTAATCTTCTGTACCACAGTTTCCTCATCTGCAAAATGGAGAAAATAATG